TCATACCAATGGGCTGGCCTAAAAATGGCCCTAATATTTCCTAATAAGTAAGAAACAAGATATAGCCACGCGTCTTGTTGAAACATCAACCCGCGCATGTGCACAGTCTGGATAATTTACCCCCGCAGGTCTTGAGCAGAAGAAAGGTTGACCGCGTGTCGTATATTGGGAGGTCTTCAAGAATTATCTTGACTAGGGTCACTTCAGTATCTTGAGAATAGTTCGCTCTTGAATATAAGAATTGCTGACACCTCTGTCGTTTCCAATTCAGCTATATGCTTACGTAGCTAAAAGTGCGGCGTGTCGTCTATCTTGCTTTCCAGGCGTTTCTTCTTTTTTTTTCTTTTTTTCTCTAGGGTAGCTTAGCGGAACTTGCGTGATTCAAGTCTAGTAAAAATAGATAGGCGATTTCGGTAGAGCCAGATATTTTAGTTTTGCGCTCTACCAAAAATATTTTTAAAAATAATTTTAGGTTACACAAACGCGGTCCTTATCTTGAAGTCGCGGTATTTACAATCTCGTTCAAAAGAGATTCCACAATTTTCTGCAGAACGTGATACAGTATGCAATAGTAGTGAACTGAGATTTAATAACAATGCCTCAATATCCCATTTTATCATTCATTGACTACTTTTTAAAGTGATAATGTTTCTACTTCTCAGTTGCAAAAACCACACTCAAGTTGTTTTTTTACGTTGACTTTATGCAGCCAAAAAATAATGTTACTCTACATTCTCGTTACGCGTATGACCTAAATGGTTTATCAGTGTTTACAAAACTGTGTTGATAATTTCTTTTTCAGATCATTACCCAGCTGCACTAGTGATGAGCCTACTCTGCCATGGCCAAAAATCGAACCGAGAGCTGTATCTCCCAACTGGTGAGTGATAGTATATAGCTATGTTAGAGAACTATAAATGGCTTGGGAAGTATGAAAATCTGCAACAAGGCATGAGTTTGCTTCTACTGCCACAAAAGCGACGCAAGATGATTTTAGCGACACTCATTTGCCTGTTCCTCATGATGCCTTGTTTTTGTTGATTTATGAAGGGTATCAGTGGCTCCTACAAATCACAAAACTGTTAGCGTAAACAAGAGACTGCTAGTTTTTTCTATATTTCTTTTACGTTTGAGAAGATGTTGTCAAAACTAATTGTGCTATATGCAAAACATAAATTTTAGCTTCTCTTTCTTCTGGTAAACTTGTGGGCACGAAATATGCCTTGCATTCATCGTGCCTTTTTCAGGCATATGTTATCGGTTGTCTTGCGTGGTCAAGAAGTGCTATGATCTTTTCGGATGTGTTGCTATAGCAATGCACACTCCACTGCCTGTTTTTCTTGTTTTTTTGTTTTTTTAAATGACAAAGATAATTTAATGTTGGTTACTTTTAAAGTGCTCTATGTGCTGCGCGTTGACCAGTGCTCAGCACGCACCTTTTGCAAACATCGATTAGCGCCTTTCATCTATTTATTCTCAGTGTTTTATGGGCCATGCTCTGGTCGAGGTTTGGCACGCACTCCCCGCACGTGCCAATCTGCCTGTGCCGGAAGCGCGCGCCGATCGGCACTCTTCAACCACATATGCCTGATATTGCTTGGGCATACGTTTAGTGGCTTCACCTGCCATGACGCTCGATCTGTCAATCGCTCGCTCACTCAATCGATTTTTTTTTAATAACGCACAACCCTATAACACATCCTGTGTTAAAAGGATCAATGCCATCCGTGACGTGCAACACATTTAAGGAACTCCTTCTTATGGACATGCATAAAAAAGCTGTAACATTATTTAGCTCCGTACATTTTGGTGTTTCAGCATTGTTTTGAAGACTTGCTTGTGATTCCTAATGCCACTGCAACCTGTTTCTGTGCAATTAAAAAAAAAGTATTTATTATTATTATTATTTTTATAGCTGCGATTTAAAACGATCAAGGTTTTACCGGTGATTGTTTTCGGTGGTACATTTGGCCGTGGGCAAAATGTATTATATCTTCTATTCAAGCCTACTTACTGAAGCTTGGATACTTTTTATTTCAGCGCCTAGAGTAGACTGTCTATAATTCAAGCAATCCATCACCTCTTGTATCTCACGGCATTTTCCGTACAAGAAAACACTTCCGGCTGTTAACTGTGTTTTGTGTCCTAATCCTGTTTCAGTTGAAACGTGCTTAGTTCATTGTTACGTAAAAAATGCTATACTTTTCAGGACCCAGAGAAGATATATGTGTGCCCGGACATCACGTACACTGGGGACCATCCTGCGTCGTCTAGCTACGCAAGAATGAAGTTTGAGAGCTTGACACCTCCAGCTTTGGACAACTCAGAGGCCGTTGAGTTGGTGTTTTTTGCCCATTGGGCATTCAACACAAATTGTGTTTAGGTTGAAGCCATTCCTATTCTCAGTAACGGCAGAGAAATCTGCAATGGCATCTCGTGTTTAGCTTGACTTTCTTTTCCTCCTTCTTTCTTAATGAAAGGCGAAGGGATTGTGCGCTGCAAACTAGATTGCTAGAGCTGACGTGAACTTCCACTATTGTTTTTTCGTTTTTTTTTCTACTATGAACTAACACTATTGTAGGAACTAATTTGATATTGTTGCGTGAAATTTGTTAGTTTATTGTTTTTCTTCGAGTCTAAGGAGATGGCGGTGTGAAGACTAGTTTGCTGTGTTTGTGTGAACACTGTTATGTTTTGTTTTCTTCACATATAAGGCGAAGTTAATGTGCAAACTTGTTTGATACGTTGATGTTAACGCTGTTATTTTTTCCTTTGGTATAACACTGTAAACTATATTTGTAGGGTTCGCGTGAATTCTAATATTTTTAGTAAAAGGTTAGGGAATATGTAAACTAGTTTACTTGTGTCCATGTTACTCTGTCAGCTTTTTTTTAAAGTGTGTGTGTTTGCTTTATTTTTTGCATGTTGCGAGTTTGCTTGTCACGGCATCTTGAGCGGTTGACAAATAAATGGATGTTAATAAGAACCTTCTGGTGCGGTTCAGTGCTTCGTATTCTAACACAAGAAAGTTTTCTATAGCTAGGGGTGATGATTTAATTCCCGTTCGAGTAATATACAATTCTTATCAAAATATAAGAAAATTTGCATGCGAAGGGAAAAAAAGAGATCCAGTGATTTTCCTGGCAGAAGACACGTGAAAGTCAAAACAGAATACATCGACTCTTTTCCAAGGGTCACATGACTCTAGCAAAAAAAGAATCCAATAATTCTTATAAGGGAGTCGTCCGACTCCACTGTATATTGGAATCGGGTGACTCTCATGAAGGGGTCGCGCGATTCTAGCAAGACCGGAGTCCTCTGATTCTACCTGAAAGAATCCACTGACTCTTATAGGGGGGTTCACATGATTCTAGCAAAAAAAAAAAAAAAAAAAAAAAGAATCCAATGACTCCAATAAGGGGGGTCATCTGACTCCATCAAATCCTGGAATATGGTGACTCTCCTGGAGGGGTCGCGTGATTCTAGCAAAACAGGGGTCCCCTGATTCCACCCCAGAGAATCCACTGACTCTCGTCAGACAGAGTCACCTGACTCCAGGCAGTAAAAGGGTCACCTGATGCCACTAGCTAATAGAGTCATCAGATTCCAGTGGTGAAAGAGTCCAATGACTCCACTGAGCGCTGGAGTCATTTGACGCTTTTAAAGGTGTCACCGCAGGGACAACCCTGGACTCCCCTAAAGGGAGTCACTGTGACTCTCCTTTTTTTTAGAGTGAGAAGTAAAGAAGAATCCCCTAACGGTGGTAGCGAGAAACAAATTTGGTCATTTTATTAAACGCGTAAGAGTTAAATGTAGTAACCTTTTATGGTTGAAAATAGGGTTCACGTGATGTTTCGATCATGATCATGTAGAAAGATGTAAGAAATGAATGCGCCGCTCAACTCTGTTTCTGCTAGCACAGAGTGTAACCGCTCCCCTCGGCGCTCGGTGTACGGATTATGTCGATCGTTCCGCTAGTCGAACTCTTCCACCATGATTTTGGATGACCGTGATTGAAACATCACGTGCACTATATTTTGAGTCACCGAGAGTTACTACGATGCACATATCAAGTTTGTTTCTCGCGACCACCGCCAGGGTAATATTTCCGGCTTTTAATTGGCCACATTCGAATTTCTGAAGACGCCCTGGAACACGCCCAGCCCGCTTGCAGCCAATGACGCCTCCTCATTTGTCTCCTATACTTCCCAACGAAAGGCCAAACTCTCTACATATACGGTTCTGCGCTGCCGGCATGCATCTTGGAAGCTGTAGTCTTTTTGAACGCCCGATAACCCCGCTCAAAGTCTGCGCGAGCAGGGCCCGAGACGACTCGAGCTGTCTCGTGCACTGGCAGATGCCTCCTGCGAACTACAGCATAGCCTCCTCTATACCCACAAAGCCTGGCAGTTCGACGACGGAGCCATAGAGTGCTCGGTCGCTGATTTCGAGCACGAGGGTCTGGTAGCACAGAGCATATCTCGGGGAACCTGGTCGTTAGTGCACAGCTTTTACAGCAGGACCCGAAACATGGTTTTTAAACCCGACGAGAAAAGAAGCGGTAGCGCGAGGAACGCGAGGAGCACGAGCGGACGTTCCATCGGCGTCTCGCCGCAGCGTGGCGCCCCATCACCTCTCTCTCCTCTCATCCGTTGTCTGCCGCTCTGCTTTTCCCATTTCGGCGGACGCGTCTCGTGGCGATCTGCCAGGCCTTGCCAGTATAAAGGAGGCTATGACTACAGTTATGGCGGCGGGACGCATGCGTGGAACGCTTAGTGAGATTGATCCAGCGGACATCGAGACTTTTACAGGCAGGTATTTTATACGATAAAAAAATGTCAGTTTCAAGAACGAGAAATTACATGTTTCTTGACCATTTTAAGACCCGCGTCTCTTCTGAATTCTTTATTTCTCACGTTCGTTGGGTAATCCCATATTTTAGTTTAACTGCACTACATTAATCAATAGGGGAGCTCCAACAATATTTGATCGTGGTATTGTGCGTTGCATCACGTCCGTGGCAGTATCGGACACACCGCTTAGCGTTAAGGTTTGTCGGCGCGCACTAGAAACATTTTGCAGCTTAAGTGCGGGCGACTGGTCCCTTCTCCACTCCACGACTCGGCCGCGTACTGGGCAACGTGCTCGAGGAGGAGGGGCTTCTCTTCATCCGTTACCAGGGTGGAAAGGTAGCACATTTCCATCAGTCTATCTGCAAATGAGAAAATTCATCCTTTCGTCAATTCGCGAAGAAGAAAACGGAGAGCCCTCCGCAGAAAGCAAAACGCGAAATGTGCACTAGTATTGCACATTTATAAAACGCAAAAGTAGTTTTAATGTATAATTTATCATTCTTTGAAATGCCAATTATACTTTTAATTCAAAGTTAAATTATTTTATGTTTAAGCTATACGGTGTGCGTGGACCCTGTCTGGCAACTGAGGTGTCCTTACTAAAAGAATATGTTTAGTATATTATTCATGAATAAAAAATACTCTTTGAGTATGCGGTTGCCAAACGTTTATTAGAAAGTGTATAATTAGTACAGATTTAGTGCATTACTTTTCACCAGGTGTATTACGATGCTCTTCTGAAAAGCTGTTCACGGATACTAATTGTTGGAGCGTGGACTACAGATAATGAATATATATGGTCCTTATCTATTACATAACGAATATATCTCGTACTTAGTTGTCCATATCTATTACATAAAGTTTTTCGGTATGTCCGCCAAACAAATATGTTCACTTTTTGTCTAATGGTTACTCCCATAAATGTTTAAAAAAAAGAGGAAAAAAACAAACAAAAAACTGCTCAGTGTCACACAAAACGTGTCGTATTGCGCGTGTTATTTTTCCCTTACTTCATTTTTTTTCTCTCTTTGGCTTACATTCTCTTTTTTAGCAGTAGAAATTATGTCTTTCCCGCGCTGTCTTATGAGTAGGTCGAATGCTAGTGCTGCAACGGGCTGCAGAGGCTAGTCAAGCAGCGTCTGTGTTGCTTTCTTTCTGCCTCCTTTCTTACAAAGGATACTAAAAAAACTGAATTTGAATTTGCAATTAAACTATAAATTTGAAAGAAAAACGCTGTTTACGCAGAAAGGCTTTTACGCTCTCTTACCTGTCAATTCCTCAACGCAGGAGAAGGTGCACGCCACTTCCAACACTTCGCACGTGGTCACAGTTAGACAAGTCTTCTTCAGAAGGTTCCTCATGTACACCAGAAGGGCGTCTCGATCCTTGAGATTTGCGCTCGGGGGAATGGTATTTTCCAACGCCTGCATCGAAGTGCGGACAACTCTTTATTCTGAAGATTCGATTGTTTTTTGTAAGCACTTAAAAACAAACATCGACTTTTTCTTAAAGGGCAACTCTGGTCCATACTTTCGATTTTGGGATTATGGCTGTTTTTAGTGCAGTCAGCGCCCCTGAATTGCGAGGTGTAATTTTTTTCTCGTTATTGTGCGTAGTTTTAAAGATATCGACGTCTCAAAGTTTTGTTTGGGGCGCGGCTGACAAAACCGAAACTAGCCACTCGAGGTTCCGGCAACACTGGAAATCAGCCGCTATGTGGACGTGACGTCAAGATCGTTCTCGTTCAACGAGTACGCAGGCCAAGCGGCACCTACCTCTGTTGCGCTAGCCGTCTAAAGATAGAAGGTAAGCTGATTTGTTTTAACTCTGTATACGTGGTAGTTATCCAGCATATGAAGCAAGAGTTAGTGCGTGTACCCAAAAGCTAGCGACTGGAAAACCCGTCAACTCGTTCCGTGCCGTACACGGCGGCTGCCGCCGCGCGTGCGCTATGCCGTGCCGTATTCGTCGCTTGTTTACCCAAGTGCTAGTGACTGGAAAACGAGTGAACTCGCTCGGTGCCGTACTCGGCAGCTGTCGGCGTGCGTGCGGTCTCCCGCACTCGTCGCTAGGCGTAAATTGTGATCGGGGCTCCGTGGATGGAGCGGCGTTGCTCTACGCCGCGCTGCCAGTGACGCACAGTACTGGGGGCCCTCTCCCTTTCGCGCTGCGGGTCAGTCCCAGACACGAAACTTTGTGGCTCTCCGGCGCGGGCTGCGACGCCCGAACAGACGTGTGCTAAGCTGTAGACGTCTGTTTTTTCCTTCTCTTTTCCTCAGGCGCGTAAAAGCCAAATTTGTAAGCTACGACATTAATTCACCACACAAGTTCGTCCAGGTAGTGAATCTTTGTAAAAATAAAAAAAAAACTTGCCGCACTAAAAAAAGAAAAAGTTCTTTGGGCAGTCATTTTCTTCTCAAAGCTAGCAAAAGTTTTTGTGGGTGACAAAGGAAAACAGAGAAAGTTAGCGAGGTGAGAACACTTTCTTTCCCTTCCGCATTCCCACCCCCACCCACAACAATTCTTTTTATCCATTTATTCATATACCCTTAAAGGCCCTCGTGAGAGCATTACATTATTAGAATACATAAGATTTTAAGTTTTCTTTCGTAACTTTTGACTAACGCAAGAGTTTTTTTTTTGTTTGCATTTTTACATATTATATTTTCCTCCAGCCGAACTCGGGTAAATTAGAGAGTTGTAACTTAACACTCCGAACTTTCGCGATTTATTGAAAGTCCGTTGTGGTATTCACAAGCGCAATGTTAATTAATACTGCTGCGTAACGGGCTCGAACGATTGGGAGGCGAATGTTTATATCGCATGAGCTTCACGCGCCGGCTGTTCGCTAGTAGTTGTTACGGACCTGAATACTACGCATTAGATTGCGTAGTAAACAAGCAGTGACGCAAAGCAGAACATTGTTTCCTTTTTCATTATAAACTTCAGTGATTGGAGCTAGTTAGTGGTTGTACTCTACATGCCAACCATTCCCCATTCAACAGACATTCAATGGAGCGTGAATGCTCAATCTTCAACGCTGCACTTGACAATGACTGTTTTATTTATTGATCTGGATACTTTTATCATGTTTACCTTTTCTGTACATGTACGGTGGGCAAAGAGCGACGGCACGGCATCCTTTTTAAGCCTCGACCCCTTCGCTGACAAGCCACAAGCAACCAACACCTGTAGGTTTCGTTCGTAACTCTCCGGCGAAAAATGATCGGAGCAGAGCTTTGATCTGGGGGTCGGCGTTCAAGGCTTTCCAAAGTCCACTCGTCGAACAGCGTTCACCCACACCTTCTCCAATTTCCGATCTGTCGGAAACTTGTGAAAAAGCACCTCCGGGTTGCCCAGCGGGTTGTTTGAGCAGCCCACAGCACTACAAGTTGCACTCGGCATATTTCGAGAAACAGCTGAGCAGTCTTGGGCGCACCGAGTTGCTCGCTAAAACGAGTCTTGGAGTCCTCACAAGCAAATAAACAAAAGGCTATACCGAAGCTACACGGGCTACAGGTAAAAGCAACGACTAAACACGCAATCACAAGCCGAAGTAGCGGTAGTAGCGGCACAAAGAAGCGCGCGCGACGGCTGCGCCGTGCGCCCGTCCGCAACGGAGGAAAAAAAGAGAACGATGTTGGACATCACGGCCCAATGTTGCTTTAGCGATCGGGAACCCGCTGGCCGCCCGCTAAGGAGCAGCGGCTCGCGGCGGGTCGCATTTTTATTATCGGCGTTAGTTGAGAATGCGGCGTCCCACGGACGTGAAATTTTGGCTGGGGTCGTATTTTGTGTCACTAAAACGAGTGCAGTAATTTAATTCATTTTGAGTTTTGGCCGGAGTTGCCCTTTAAGAGCTGTCGAAGTATGCCAACCTTGCTACCAGCGATAGAGCAGGCAACACCGATCCATAAATAAATACTTATTATTTATACGTACTACAGCTACAGCAGAAATAAAAGTAATTGACACGCAACAGCAATAGCTACTCTTTTTTTTTTTTTCGGAAAGAAAGGGGGGGGGGGGGGGGGGGCGTGAATGACATTTTAAATTAGGGCTCATTCAAGATCGTGTGTTTTCTGTGTTTTTCGGAGACCATGGCGGTGTTTGTACGGCGTTTGTGTTCAGGGAAGCCAAATATCGACTCACCTTTCTGTATTTCTGCCAGTTAGTTATCGTTGCGAGTCTGCTTCTCAGGCGCATATCGTTACTGGAAGCAGCGAAGAAAAGCAGACATCCTCCGCCAGGTTTCATCAATTCGGCAATGTTGTCAAACCCTTTTTCTTGATCCACAAGCCAGTTTAGACAGAAGAACGAATAGACACGATCAAACTGACCGTATCGCTGAACAAAGTCGGCGACACCGTTCCCCGAAATGTCCAGGACATCATAGCAGATCTTGGAGTGGGCGAAATGCTCCTTAGCATACTCCAGCATGTCCTGTGAAACGTCGACGGCTACGATTCGTTCGACGTCTGGGCAGCGTGGAAGGAGGTGGTCGCGCGTGAAGTCTCCAGTGCCGCAACCCAGATCGAGGAACTGTTGATCCTTGGTCTCATTCGTAAACGAGGCTTGTAGTAAGTTCAGAACCTTTAGATTGTGCTGCCGCTCCCTGCCATTTGTGGTTATGTAGACCTCTGGATCGATGGTGGCGGCGGCCGTCTCGCCGTTGAGTGAACGAAGCGTGGTAACGGGCGTCAGCGCAGTCATCTTGACGAGTCGCAGACGATCAGCTGAATCGGCCGGTTTGTAATACGTGGCGTTTTGTCGCGCAAGTTCATTTATGCACGCACACGGCTTGACGCACATGCGCGCCGGCGCATCCGCCCACATGTTTATTTTTCAAGGGTTGGCAATGGAGGAGGAGTGAAGGTGAGAGAGGAGATAATACATCTGTTATCAGACGCAGGGAGACGCACAAGCGCGTACACTCCGCGGCACTGTTAAAACGAACATGGCATCGCCGTTTTTGTTTTCTCTCTTTCAGTAGTGAAGGACTGTCGTCCAATCTACAACAGTAGTGGCTCAGTTGGGGGTACTAATAGAAGTGGTAAAGTGTAATGAAAGATGCGCCCCACTGGACTTCTGGACAAGACTCTAGGACATTTCCAAATGATCTCTTTCCTTCCTCGGCTCTGTCTGCTTTCCTTCAGCCGCGGTTTGTGGCTCCTCGTGCCCCGCTTGTCGACTTTGGTGAAAAACAACCCTCCTCTTTTTTTCACAAATTTCTCTTCTATCAGCTGTTATCCCCTCCCCCTTCTCCAATCCAACGACGACCGTTGGGCCTATGGTTGTAACTCCAACTTTGGTTTTTCCTCTTTTGCAAGACTTTTCTCTATCTACATACCATTTCGAAGAAAAATGCGAAAAAGCTACGAAAAACGTTTTTGCTTAAGATTACTTGGGCACGTACATACATATATGCTTTAAGTTAGTGAAGTTGTGATGAGGACGCGCACAGTGCCGGGAAAATGCACCTGCATCAGATGCTTGTAATGGCCGATTCACACGACGGACTGATCCGCGGACGGAATGATCACGTGATGGCACATCCGCGGTTTGTCCGTCTCCCAAGTACATCCACACCCGGGTGACGACGAGCAGACGCCAGCGAGGACGGATCAAACTTGTTCACCACCACACAGTGCCGCGAAACTCCAACATCGCACCGTTATCCAAAAGAGAAATCGACGTTTACTATACCGCGATAAAAATTCTCACGCCGCTGTTACGTACAGACCGACAGAAAACACCATGATAGCCCTCGTCTGAAGCGGTACTTGCTTTACTAACATAATGATTGACAGTGACACATTCATGGTTCTGCTCGAAAAGGCTACGGCGTGCGACGAAGTTCTGTGCTCGCAGAGGGACGTTTGGAGATGCCTTCACGCACTCCGGCCTCGTGCAGAACACTAATTTCCAATCCCAAGAAAGATCTTGCTAGGTGAAAGGATCACTGAACGTGCAAGAATTATCGCGGCGTGCTAGACGAGTTTTGACGGAAATTTCTTGAGACGGGCCCGGAGGAGTACCGAACCTGCGTCGCGTCATTCGGACTAAGTTTCTGCAGTTTCTTTCACACGGGGAACCAAGAATCGCGCGGCGAAATGAACCAGCGAATGTGCAAGACAACGGTGCACCATTTTTGTTTTAATCAGGGCCCCCCCCACCCCCCCCCCAACCAAAAAAAAACCAAAAAAAACAGGAAGAAAACATTGTAAGGTTGCCAAACTAAACGCTTTTTAAGTCAATCTTCCGCCAAAAATTCCGCGAGTCAAAAGGCGCTCGACTTTATCAGTCCGCTCGTCCGCGGACAATGCGCGGATAGCGGGAATCGGTGACGTAACTGTCACGTGGTAGACGGTTCTCGGACGAAAATCACCATTCGGTCCGTGGCGTGAATCGGCTAAGCGACAGCTCAACCGAAGCAGAATGTTTGTCTCTGTGGCCAGGCAGGCCCTATACTATCAAGCGCCCTGAATAAACTCCGGCCATGACGTCCCCCCCCCCCCTTCCCACTTTTTATACAGCCCTATCTAGTACGTTCAACATCACATTGTGAGTAAGCATGTGAGCAGTGGCCCAAAACAAGCGTTTTGTCAGACGATAACCGCATCCCGGAAACAAGTTTCGGTGCCGTGAGTAGAGTAGCTTCCCGTGAGTAGGTTCGGATGTGAAAGCTGTAGGGGCATTTGATAATGTAGCGTAAGCTACACTGGCCGAGGTTGAGCAGTTTCGCGTGGCTCCTGGAGAGCCGTGCTGCGCATGCGCGAGGAGCAGTGACGTCACATGTGTCAGTCCCCGATGCACTCGCTGCGCGCATGCACCGCTAGAGATCATGGCTCGCGCTGTCCGATTGTTCTGGGCGGCAGCTTGGTTGCTTGGTACATAACACCGTGTGAAGCTAATCCTAGACAACCAGGAAAGCTAAGAATAACCAGCTGAACCTAAGCCTACGCTACGTATATCCTGGCATAGCCGAGCTAAGCCACTGCAATCTTTTTGCAAGTATTTCTATACCTGAAAAACTTTCCAGCATTCAGAATGCTGTAATGTTTTGTGAACTGATCTGTACGCACTAGGGATGCCGCGAACCACCCGAGTAACCCGAGGTTCGATTTCGAAAGCTTTCGATATTTTCGAACCGAACTGATGTTCGAATTCGAAAGGTTTCGATATTTTCGACCGTACGGAGATTCGAATTCGAAAAATTCGCAACTTTCAAAAATCGTGGAGTTTCGAATGCGAAAAGTTCGAAGCTTTCACGGTTTCTAAAAGTTCGGGTTCGATTATTTCGAATATTTTTTTACTTGAGGTTCGAGAAATTTGAAGATTTCGAACTTTCCTAACTTGAAATTTGAGAGATTCGATTGTTTCGAATTTCTTTGGATCTGAAATTCGAAAAATCGAACGTTTTGAATTCTGTTAGATAAATTCGAAGATTTCGAATTTCTTTCTACATAAAGTTCGAAGGTTTGATTCTCTTCTAGCGCTAAATTCGAAAAAAAAACACAAAAACAACAACAACTTAGGTTTCGAATTTTTTTTAAGTCCAAGTGAGCAAAGTTCGAAGTCCGTTTTTCATGTTCCGCCACAGTTTCAGTTTCAAATAAAGGCCCGTTCACACTCTTGCGACCCGTAAGACCGAGAGAGACCAGACCGGTTTTTAAGCCTCATGCGATCTCTTAGGACCAGCTCCGCTGCAGCGCATCCAATATCTTAAGAAGTCGCCAAAGGCTTAAAATCCGGTCTGGTCTCTCTCGGTCTTACTCGGTCCCAAGAGTGTGAACTGGTTTTCACGAAATCAGGTTTAGAAATGTTCGGGTGTGATATTTAGACTGCGCGAAGTTGGTCAGGCAATTAAATGGGACAACGAGTGTCCCGGATGTGCTGGATTATTTGCCAGTGCAGAGTGACGTGTGCAGATCAGTAATTGTGACCGCCAGCCCGGGGGGGGGGGGGGGGGGGGGGGCGGGGGGGGGGGGGGTTTAACGTGCATCACGTAGTAGTGATCACACGAACGCACTGTTTAAAGATACTCATCCAGTTCGAAACGGCCAGGGGCAGGCAGGTGGTTGAGGCTCAGAAAAACCTTGAAGCGATCTGGCAAACTGCCTCCCTGCGCCCCTGCACGCTGGTAGCAATCCGCTCGAACGCCGCCCGGGTGACGCTGGCATATAGTAAGTTTAGTTTGTACATGATGCAAAATCCTGATACTGGGAATGAAATTTGAAAGAAAAAGTGTAAGGAGACAGAAAAAAGGGAAAGGAAAACGTTTCAAACTCAGCTCATGACAACGTCTCAAACTCAACTCAGCTGAAAACTCAGGTCAGGACAGCGTCTCAAACTCAACTCAGCTGAGTTTGAGACGTTGTCCTGTCCCTTATTCTCTTTCTTCTTACACTATTTCTTTCGAATTTCATTCCCAGTCTCGGGATTTTGCATCATGATCAACATACACCAGCTCGCCTGCACCTTGACATTGCTTTAGTTTGTAATTGCTTTGGAGGTTTATTTTCCGAGACGGAAGAAACGCCGAGCAAAAAGCGCAGAAGCTGACACAGCTTGAGGTCGAGGAGCGGCAATACGGGGAAAGAGGGCATGGTCGAGCTTATTTTAATCTGAAATTATTTATGCACATTTATAGCTACTGTCGCTCTTCACTGCACAAATGATCGCGTAGATGTTCATTGTCTGAAACTCGTTGTCAGAAGGCACTACTCGTCACATGCTCGGTGGTCTGGAAGTTCAAACCTATGTCTTTTCGACCTAAATAACTGTGCCATTGGTAAAAAATAATAAATAAATAAACATAACAATAAATGAAAAAAAAAAAAGCTGGAGAAAAAAAAACACCAAGAATCCACCAGAAGTGTTGTATTCTCGCCTATTCACAGGCACAGAACTACGAAACAAGTTTTTTCTACCAAAATGTGTACAGGCTAAAAGAAACATGTGCCAAAAACGTGAAATGAAAAAAATAATATATATATATATTGTGAGACAGAGAAAGGTCGGTCAGATGACGGTTTTTTATCAGAGTCTGATAGCTATAGAACGTTTCAAAAAAGGTGCCACTCATCAGCTGCCGATGCCGATCGCGCCCCCCACAGCCAAAAGTGACGACGACGATGTCCGTGGGCAGTGCTACGCAGAAGCGCCCTCACAGTTTTCCCCCGGTTGCGGAAAGGTGGCCACCTGGCCACAGAGGGAAGGAAGGGGTGCCGTTGAGCGGGGAGTGAAAGGTTTCAGTCGGGAGACGTGAATCTGTTCGCGGCCGCGGTAGCGGCGATCGGTGGGTGTTTGTACTGGTTCCACGAGAAAGTTGACAGGAGTTGTTTGAGCGATGACGCGGTAGGGGTCGATGTAATAGGGAATTTTAGCAGGTCGTTTCCACACGAACGGTTCGCCCTCGAACGCATCCGCGACGCCACTGCGCATGCGCGCGCGAGTCGTTCGGGGAGTCGGGAGGCTCTTCTCGCTCGTTTCTCCCATTCCGGCCGCTGGAGTCGTCAACGCAACGCAGCCAGCACCGTTCACGACTCGGGTAAAAAAAGATGGCGGTCGGTTCGGCGACCGCCTTCGCCAACCCAGCCGAGCGTTAGACTTAGGACAGCGGGAGGCGATTTGCCGTCCTGTTTAAGTCTGCTTCATTTGAGAAGTGGAACTAAATCATTTCGAGGACTGCTCACAATGGTAAGCGATCGTGAATCCTGTAAACTGCGCATGCTATATAGTAAATTTTTGCGATCTGCAGGCAGACTAGCTGCCGTGGCGACCGCGAGCAGACGAAATGATTTGGTTTGACGGCACACAACGTGAACGATCGT